ATACTTCGCAGTCGAAAGGTAAACGACAAGTTCGGGCAACAACTTATGTAATACTTGAGATTTAATTCAAACATATCAATAGTACTACTCATACCAACAAGGTGCATCTCCTTTTAAAGGAACTCATCAACTTAGAATCCAGAGTTAAGTGTGTGCTTGAACGGGAGTAATCTTGGGATTGATGACCCCCTCAGAAGTTTCTCAGGGTGCGCACGAGTGAGGACAAAAATGTAATACCTCTGCGGGGCCGGGGTGTTACATCTTCATCCCAAAGACGTGATGATTGGGGGCCGATTATAACCGTAGAAATTGAAGAAGCGACAAACAACTCGTGCAACTCTTGTCGCAAAATCAAGCGCGATTTATGCAACAAGAAACCTTCTCGAGGCACTCCACGGAAGCGGTGAAAATGAAGAGCAAGAACGTGCAAACACAAATATCAAGCTTTGCAGATATCAATCCTTCGATAATTTCGTTTATAATGATGAGCGACATTTAAAAGCTATGTTTAAATTAATATGTAAAGAAAATATGTCTTTTAGTTTTTCTGAAAGTCTTGTTTTACTTGCTTATGTTCATGATTCTTTAAATTCTCAATTTAGAAACTACATCCACAAAACAATTAAAAAAGAAGTTATTAAACACTATCATTTGGAAAAGGAAAAATTGATTCTTTTTTGTTTTGCAAATTTTAATGGGTCTTTAACTGTTTGTGGTGATATATGGAAAGATACATATCATCACTTGTATTATTGGGTGTAACTTTACATTGGATTGATGAATGCAATAACAGCTACACTAGTGATAATATTAATTAATAAATTTTATTAATGCATAAATTAGTTAAAACTTAAAAGTCAAACATGGCTAATTAAAATGGAGTGGATTTGTAGTAATTAATAAATTTCGGATAAACTTTAGTGGTACAAAACATAGATCACAAAACATTAATTTGAGATGTACATTTATGTTTACTTAATTTGAGATGTAATTTGAGATGTACAAAACATAAATCCAAACAATGGTATACATGTACTGATGTATGTACGTTTAAACCAAACTTTGGTTCAATTCAGTCCAGTATTGGTTCTCATTTTACGAGAACCAGTCATGGCATGGTTTGGAACCAGTGCAGCAGGATGGTCCGGTTTGAGATAAAAATTTGATATTCGTTTCAAACCCCGTTTTTCGGTTCAATATCATATCGGTCCGGTTCAGTATAATGTTGGTTTGGTATTTTTGCCCACCCGTAGAAACTTTTAATCTCGTTTGTGCTTTTCAAAAATTTCCTAATCACTTATATTCATTATTTTTGTGATTTCATGAAGGAAAAGTTTTTAAAATATTATGCCTACATTTCGTCTATATATTTTATTGTTTTCTGTCTTGACCCTCGTTTCAAACTTTCAACTTATCACGCATTTTTAGAGTACTATTCAAGCTCAAGCTCAATGTTACGAGGACACTCATTTCTACAATGAGTACTCTATGTACAAGGACACCCATGTGGATCCTCAAGCTCAATTCAAAGATGTTATTAATCTATTTCACAATGTATTTAATGAGTTTCATACACATTATGATAATGTACTCTCTCCCTCCAAAACGACTTTTGAAGAAAAAAAGTAAATCTACTTTTGTCGCTGCATAAATCTTGTTTAACGAGCTTTCTTTATATCTAACGTTTCTGACTGAGTATACTGAAGGAGAAGATTTTGACATTCTCCAATGGTTCAAGAGCCACGAAGGAACGTTCTCCATTTCAAAAAATGGTGATACAAGTACTGTCAACGTCGATTTCAATAATTGCAGTGGAATAAAAGTTTAGCGAAGCCAGCAACGTCTTGACTGATTATAGAATGAGGTTGAGTGCTTCATCTCTCGAGACACTCATTTACTTCCATAATTGGTTGGATGCCTGACGTAGAATACAAGAAGTTAATATAGCACATAACCACTTAATGGAGAAAATGACAACTGACGTCGATTCTAGCGATCAATTCATGTATTTAAAGTTTTAACTATTCTCGGTTTAATTAATAAATGTATAATACTCTAAATCAATGTTGTGTTTGAAATAAATCTACATTTCATTTTTAATCTGCATCATTTGTCATTTAAAAAGAATCAAGAACCTGCCCGAGACCGGCCGGGTATTGGGACCCGTATACATCCGGGTCAATTTCTTACTACATTTTACCAAGTGATGTATAATTCATATTTTGGGATTTTGTACATTCTAATTAGTAAAATCAATTTCATTTTGTAATCATTTAACTTTAAACATAAAAAATTGCAAATCAATTAGGTATTTTTTTGTTTTCAACAAGGACAGTTGGACTTTTTTGATAAATTTAGTATGCGTTTTATTACTTGAAAAACAATTTTAGACAACATTCTCGAGATTACAGCTTATGGCCTTATAGACTTAGAGCATCTCCAATGCTACAGTGTGCACGATGCACATATGGCATGAGAGAGATAGACATAAAAGATTAATCTTATGACATTTTTCTCTCTATCTTTTCACGGTCTTATGTGTTTTTGGTAAATTTTTCTCTGCAATGTCAACCACGATGTCTACTTCAAGACATTGTGTTTGACATTGTGAACAAAAACTTATCAAAATGATATAAGATCCTTAATAGAAGGAGAGAGAGATTTTAATTATTGTTTTATGATTTGCTCTCTCTCATTCTACGTATACACTGTTAACGTATTAGCATCGGAGATGCTCTTATAATATTAAAACTTCCCATGTTGACCAAAGGTCCACAACGACTTGAGAGTTAAGAAATAAAGAGCACCTCAAAAATACGCCTATATAATAACAAGTATCTACTTGTAAAAGAATCATAATTAATTCCAGTATAAAACAAACCACCTCTTAGATTATCCATGCATGTTGCATGGGGACACTACATTGTTACCCTGTAGTATAATAAAGTACTCCGTATAATTACCCGCACGGGCAGCTATATTCTACAGCTTACCACTACTTTGCTGACTGGATCACCGTGATTAACTCCCCCACCATCCTGTCGGGTCGGGGTGGGAACTCCAGGAGTGAGAGATTCCACTTTTTGGACCAAGTACTCCGTATAACTTTTGACAAAAGTAGGGGTGCACTCAGGTCCGGGTCAGGCCCGGGTGGGCCAGCGGTTCAGGAATTGTGGACCCAGGACTGTGCCGGGTAGCCACCGGGTCCGGGCCGGGCCTCCGGTTTGGTTTTTTTGGCTTTCCTACCCCCCCCCCCCCCCCCCCCCCCCCCTCTCCCAAACCGCCCCAAACTCATCCTAACCATCAAGCCCAACCCGGGTGGAACCCCAAAAATGAAAACAAAAAAATCAATTTGACCCATGCCCGGGCCGGTTCGCCAAATGTGAGACCCGAGCCCAAACCCGCCCTACCCCCAGGGCCTAGGCCCGACCCAGACCCGAGAACCAGGCCGGTCCCGGTCCCGGTCCCGCACAGTAGCAGGCCGGGCCGGTCCATGGGTCAGGTGGCCCGACCCGAGTCCAACACTAGACAAAAGCATTACTAGACAATGCGAATAATGAAATTGAAAATAATTCCGTAGTACTATAAAAACAACCTCAATTGTTATAAATCACGATTTATCTATAAATTAATCTTAACAACACCACTCGTCCTTGGTAATCATGATCCTCTTCACTGGAATACCCAACACAGTTATCCCATTGGAGGAAGGAAAAAAAAACTCAAATCCAAAACACACAACAGACTTGTATTGGTTAGGCCGTAGCATTAATGTTTTCTCGGTACAGGAGTAGAGAACAAAGTAACAACTAACAAGACGTGATAGGAAACACATGCATTATTTTGCAACAGAAGTTCAAAGACAAACTCATATGGGTAATGTCTAACAACCGTGAAACCATACAACATGACATAACTTGACACAGCAAACACACACATAACCAACAAGGAGGTCAAGACACTTGAAAACAGACACCAGAAAAGTTAAGTATATAGTTTACCGTGTAGAAACAGTGATAATCAAACACATATGAGGAGCATATTTAAATATAGAAGCAACAGCTTTCATTCCTCCTCGGTTTCAGATTCTGCACTTTGAAGCCAATCAACAAACGGTTTAGCATTCTTCCAAAGAGGGGAATCATTATACTCCTTAACACCTCCATTGTACCACTCCACTATATGCTCTTCCTCGAGGATATCAGCATCATACAAAGCTTTCAAAACCAATGCAACTTCCTTCACCGCAGCAGAATTTGTTTTTCCACAGAACTCACCTATGGCATTCAGCAAATACACTTGTGACTCTTCATTCTGAGACATAGCAGCTGCAAGATAGTTCTTCTTCTTGACAATCACCTTCGCATATCCTTTGTCTACACCGTCTAAGAGAGATTCATACAAGGCTGTCATGATCTCTTGTGGAGTCCCAGAAAGAGATCCAAGAACAGACAAGAATTGGCTGGTGCTGATGCCTTGCTTCATGTTCTCCTTTAACTCATCTACAAGCTTCTCATTAGAGGTTTTATTTTTCTCCGCCTCATCAGATGGTAGGGAAGAAGCGGATTTTAGGCTTTCCTCAGTCTTATTGACTTTCTTGGACTTCTTCGAGGTGTCATCGCCATTTGTAGAAAGCATAACCATGTCAGCAGTTACCGAATTAAGCTGTTCTTGGATGCGTTGACGTGCGGCCTCCATTGACGTGTCAGTTTGCCAAGTCACATCATCATCGTCATCTTCATCATTGTCATCTTCATCCTCATCAACATGGTTTCTAGGTGGGGAAGCAAGATTACCATCACCACCAAGGGTTTTCTTTTTAGAGCTAGTTTTTATAGTAGGGGCATCCTTTGAAGTAACTTTTTTCTTTGCATCTTTCTTAGCCTTCTTAAGTTCCTCATCAGCAGCCTCACCTTCCTTGAGCCTTTCTTTCTCAGCCCTCCTCAATGACTTCTTATCCTTTGAATTCTTTTTGGATTCAGGTGGGTTCTTAAGGATAAACGAAGTCAGTTTGTCCCTCATGTCGACGTCAGAAATGAAACCACAGGCAGCACATTTCAGTTGGACCATTTGGCTTTTAGTGATCAAGATCTCTGTTTCGGGGTTTCCACATCCATAACACTGAACATACTTCTTAATGAAGTTTTCAAGAAGACCAGCAAGTTTGGCAGTGTCATGGGCTCCATTGACGAGTGAGATACCTGTTTTTTCATCAAATTTAGATTGTGCTCCAAGTTCACAACCAAAGTATTTTGTTGTGTAGGAAGGCGGCCTGGCTAAAGCTTTAGCTATATCAACCATGTTGACAACATTAGTCTTTATACCGTTTCCACGTCCCTCAATCTTGGTAATCATCCTTGGCATCTTGTACCTGTAGAAGGCATCATCTCTGTTACCCGCACCTATGTTCTGCAACGCCATGTTTGAAATGTTTGCGAGTATCAGAGCAATAAGTGATTGGAATTTGGGAAGGTGAAGAAGCCTTCAAGGGGATTGTCAGCACAAAGATACTGGTTTGCTAGTTGCTCCAGAAATGGTCCGAGATGTATACATTCGATTTTATCAGAAAAATGAGGATTCTTTTTCCTTGACTTAGGACAATACTTTCCAAGTAGCCCAATTGTCCCGGAATAGAGAATGGCTTGTTCGGACATAAAAGACTCCACACTGCAACGCTAAAAGACTTTGACTAGAAAAGACCAGGCCTGAAAAACTTCATCACAAGAGTAAAAAGGTTAAGACACAAGAGTAGTATTCTCTGAGGTAGATAATGGATAAACCCATAAATAGGCAAATTAGGCTTCAACTACTATGTTTTCGGACTTCATTGGCAGATTTATCTTACATAGAAGAAATTTAATCCAGCAAGTAGTTCTACATTGAGTTTTCAACTTTTCATACACTCAGGGAGATATAAATTAATTTATGGTGGGGTCAAGGATTAAAGTAATCTGCAATGTCAATATCTTAAGTTATACGGTGTCGCAAAGCGCAACCAATGAGGCTTATCACTTTTGGGCTTGAAACTATAAATTTTAGATTTAGAATTGCCGCATCTAACAGATAAAATATTGAATCCATTCTTACAAACTTTAAATACTGTAGGATAGGTCTTACGAGACAATGATGAGACTTTTACACAGTTGGAAGCTATATGAACAATAGCTCAAATTCATTAGTTGATATCAAATCTATTTTGCATAACTTGAATCAGGCCAATCACAACCAAACATTTTTTATTTATTTTTCCTACGATACATTTTAGCGAAATGAGGATTATAGTTCAAATCAAATATTTCTTTTACATTGTTTCCACTAAAACAGTAAAACAGCACATTGAAATACTACCAAAATAAAGAAAATATATTCATCAAGTAATATCCCAGGATATTTTATATTTTTATCTGGTTCTCATGCATCTATCCACCTACCTAATTATCTATCTATCTGTGATCTATCTACTTACCTACTTAATTACCTATTTACAATAAGGTGGTTTCCTTTGTCAATAATTAAACCAAAACAGGCTTGCGAAACAAAAACATAGAAGGGCATGCTTCCACATAAAGAAGCATTCATTCTGACAGGTAATGTACCTGTCAAATGTTTACAAATTGAAATACTCAAATGTTTAAGCATGTAGCCTTCATTTGTTTCCAATAATATATAAGTGGTGGTTGAGTAGATAATTACTCAGTGTCTAATACGGTTGTTTCGCTATTCGCAATAACCAAATTCGAACTTTTTGAAATTTAAGCCAACCAAATGAATGTAATAACAAAATATTTATTGAAGTAATAAAATAATCACTTTTCACACACACAATCCGATGTCTCTGCAAAACTAAAAATCAATACATCATAAGAAACTAAAAAACAAACACTTCAATATAACAAATCTTTTTATTTAAAAGAGTGAGAAATAATAACTTGAAAACGAAAGTACAAAACAAAACAAAACAACCAGATCAGTCGTTAGTAAAAAAAGTACGGAATATATAAAATCGGAAAATTCATTTGTAAAGAATCAATACAAAACAGAAAATAGACTGAAACCGTGAAAATAAGATATGTAGAGTGGGGTTTGAATATTTGGACATTATACCATGGATCTAAAAAATCAGGAGAGAATCAAACATTGTGTTTCATATCTGGAAAACTGAATCCGGACTTGATTTTTGTCTGCGATATTTGATCCGATTGGAAGCTAAAACAGCGAAGACTAAAGATGAACATGAGAGATGACGTACCTGGATATGGAAGAACGCTGGATTTTTGTGTAATATAAGAGGCCAGAGCAGACGAGAGGCTTATATATTCTTGTGGGAATCGTGAGAAGTTTCTAGGGTGAAGTAATCATATAGAGTTTGAATTGGGCTTTAATTCATTAGGAAGGATGCTTTATTTCGAATAAATTAGGAAGAATGTTAGGATGGCCCCATATTCGGCCCAATAATTTCATAAGAAATACTGAAATAGTGTGTAATTTAGTTTTTGAAAACTTGTTTGGGGTAATTAATCCATTTATCGGATATTACAAAAGGGCGTGTTTGACATTTAACGGATAGCGGATAATGTTAGCGATTATCAATAACGGATTCATTCGGTTGGTTTGAGTAGAGGAATAAGTTGGCGGGTTACTAGAAGATGTTTGGTAATTTAGCTGTTTGGTTATAACAATTAGTACAAAACGACATATTTTAAAATGTTATCCCAAAACTCTTCTATTTGTAGTGTTTCCATTTTAGCGATTTCGTCCGAAAATGTTCGAACCGAACAGTTTTTTATCAAACAACGTTTTCACTTTTTGAAAATGCTAAAGATAGTCAAACCGTTATTTTTTTATTGAAACATCATTTTCCAAACACTCCCAAAGTTCTATGTCTATGATTTGATACATATACAACATTATTGCTACATGATACATGAATGAAATAAAAACACATTTTAAATAAGTTACTATTTTTTGGATCACAATGGAGGGGAAACGCCCCAAATAAGAGGTCTTTCACAATTGCATTTCTGCTCCAATTGAGGCCAATTCTCACTTCATGCAATGCATACCTCATCACCTTATTTCTACTCAAGCAATAATATTTGTCACTTTGTTATGTTTTCTCATAATACATTATATGGTAATCTTTCGATCCTTTCTCATTCAACTTTGATAGATCTCAACCAAGTTGCTTGCAGGACCTCGCGTAAAAAATCTATTTAGGCATGCAAAAAAAACTAGCTCGTAGAGACCCGCCCTGCCCCACGGCATTTAGGGCGGGTCCGGCCACCTTCGACTCCTCCGCCTTCATTGCCCTCGTCTCCACCTTCTAGCATCGTCGCCTCCGCTTTCATCGCCCCCGCCTTCCGCCATCGTCGCCTCCACCTTCCACCATCATCGCCTCCATCTTCATCACCCTCGTCTCCACCTTCCACCATCGTCGCATCCGCCTTCATCGCTGCCGCCTTCCACCATTGTCGTCTTTATTTTCCTCCGAGTTTCGGGTTTTTTCCTCCTCCTCCTACTTCCTCCTCCTCCTCTTCTTCTTCATTTTCTTCTTCTTCTTCTTTTTCTTGTTCTTCTTCTAATCTTCTTATTCTTCTTCTTCTAATCTTCTTCTTCTTTTGAGTTTTAACATTGATTTTTCAGATTCCCCCCCCCCCCCTATTCCTCTGCTTGTGTTGGCTTAAACACTCATTTTGCCGATTTTTTGGACCTCTGTTTAGTATTTTCAATTTAGAGTTTTTGGCAGATTTAAAAAGCTTTTTAAAAATCCAAAGTTTTTCTGGAATTTTGGATGATGGCATAAAATTTTCCCAAATTATGGCAGGAATGTGCATACTGACAATGGAGTATGGTAATATAGATTTTATGTAAATTGTTTTTGTACAATTAGGTGATTTTAAGTCCTATGAAACATAGTTTACTTTTTTGTCCTATTCGTGCACACGGGTATACTTTTAGTCCTAGATAGGGCGAGAAATACCCGTTTTATTTTTACGGGTAATAGAGCGGTTACGGTTTTATACATGTTTACTCCATTACCCGCCCTTGTTTATTTTTAGTTATATTTTTCTCTTTGCATATTGTGTATATCCACTAACTATCATATTTTTAATTGGTTAATTATTTTTCAATTTAATTATTTTTAGGTTCAAATGATTATAGTTTGCATTCTTTCTTGTCTTGTGGATGCACGATACTTTTAAGTGGAATCTCACTTCTAGAGTCGTCTAGGCGGTGCCATCTTTGTCTTTTAAAATAATAATTTTTATATTAATATATCAACAACTCATTTAATAAAGTGGTTATCCGTGGTCATTATAACTGCCACCCGTTGAGTAATTAGGCGATTATGGGGCGGGTACAGTTATATGCATAAACGTCCTTGATTTGCCTCATTGTCATCGGTGAAATTAAAATTCCCCCCCATTGCTTATCATCTTAACATGATATAAGTGTATAACAGTAACGCTCACTAAATCTCTCCCACTCTCTAGTTGCGGGCATTAACAGCTTTTTATCTGTCGGTAGGATTTATTCATTTAAACACAACTTTTGTCTTCAAGGTAGGATAATTTTTTTGAGGTCATTCAAGATAATCTTTGTATCGAAATACACCATGATAGTACTTTTAACATGTATGAGTTGCTTGATAATAAGGTATTGTCTTTCGTTTGATCTAGTTTTGTAGGCTATTTGAGGAAACAATGTGTAATGAATTAATGGGTATTTGAAGTAGCCATAGAAAATTATGAACGTTTTTTAGCTTTTCTTAATATGTGTGCCAAGTGCAATATTTTAGATTCTCAGCACTATCAGATTCGTCAAATCCGGGTTTCCTTTATTCTCCATTCTCGTATTCCATCAAATTGACTTTTCCACCTATATCACCCTCCACGTGCTTTAATTTGAACGCAATTTTTTTATCAACATATTTCTGGCTCAGTGGCATCATGACTAGTCAACAAAGTTGCTAGGATCAGTCACAAATACCATTAAAGGAAGATTTTTGGAATTGTCAAATCCGTTTTAGGAGGTACAAATAGTGACTTACAACAAAAGTCAGATCAGTAACTCTGTTTCTCGTATTTTCGTGTGCTAATACAAACCTTTGAATTTTGGGAAGGCTAACAAAAAATGCTCGCGTGTTTGTTATTTCCTCGACTATGTTGATGATAAAAAAATAATGATGTTCTACTGCGATGGTCGGTTTTTGCGAGTTCGAAAATAGTGATTTTACCTCGTTTGAACTGCGTTAGAAAATAAAGAACGATAACACTTTCCAAGTTCGGTGACTTTTGGTGGATTAATAATGCATTTAAAAATGCATAGTATTTTGTGTAGGGCAATCGAATCGGATGCACTATATGTGGTCATCTTACTGTATACAAAAGGGAATGGAAAGCCGGTCCATTTTTCAGCCTAAGGTAAAGAATTATAAACATAGGTCGGGTCTGCTGAGAAATTTCACTGTGTTACAATATTTGTGTGGGACAGTGTTAATAAATGTTGTTTTGATGTGTGTCATACATTATTGTCAGGTCCATTACACCTTATGAGGTACTATATGTTATTTGCCGGTTAGTAGGCATTGAAATCCGTCATATTAGATCTATTAAGATCTCTTCTTACAATTTGCAATATCATTTACATAGTAAAGCCATTTTGAAATTTCATATTTGTGTCCAATTCACCTTTTATGTTTACTATTCACTTTAGTCACACTCAATAACGATTAGTCCAATCACATACCCATTCCGACAGTAAATTTATGCATTGTACTGGTCCTATATATTGCTTACCACTCCGTATCATCTGTTGGATATTACAATGTTACCATTTTCAATTTACAAGATGAGTCCAACGTCGTAATGCATATATCCCACTGTACAAAAAAGGGTCATTCGATCAGAGACCAAAATGGTCACTACATCTCACCATGGCAAATAATTACAACTTACACTCTGATAGCATGTCTTCTCTCTTGGCATTGTGCACAACAAATTTTAAAAATTGAATATTTGATAGTTATGTTAATGATCGGTTAAATGTACTACGTAAATGTTTGAAATTAAATATGTCTGTGTAGGTGATGACTTTGAAGAGCTTCTCACTTAACTTCTAAAGTGAAGGACATGATGATGATTTTTGTGACAACATCTCATTACATCAATCAAGACACTTCTTGAACAAATACATGTAATTCTAAACTTTTCATTTCAATAGTAGTGCTTACAAATATACAATCTTCCCTAAAGACGCCATTCAAATTTAGGATGGGGGAATTTGGTTGCCACTAGAGATTTTGTATATTGAAAATTAACAAGGGTGGTGTTATCTCAATTTTACAACATGTGACAAGAAACTCGTCACATAGGAGGGAGTGTTTAAGTGTTCTACCAGTGACATCAACGTATTAGAAGAAGTGTTCAGGTAAGTGAACTCCTACATTATAATATCATCATTTCATAAAAAATTGGATATAATAATCTTTTTTCTTTGTACCTAATAGGTACAGAGAAACATTTGTCATTTTTAGGTCAGTGATTGAAAAGGTAATTAACATTATATATAATCAATTAATGATTGAACTAGTTATTATTATAATATACGAGTGTATAGAACTAGATACCCATTTTTTCGCCGAGACATTGAAGTTATTATGGTTTCAAGAGAATTGTGTAATGCACAAATTCAACACAAGGGCGTAAATTAGTGTTTACAATGGGCAATCTCATTTAGTGTGATAACGATGATGAGAGTTCTCTATGTGTTCATGCATGAAATGTTCAAGGTTGTGTCACGAGCGTCTAATGATGTGGCAGAAACCCAAAAAATGTAGCAACACAAACACGACAAATTGTTCACATGGCATCATTATTTGTATTGTTGACGTATGACCTCTATTTATATACACTCCTGAGATGGGATATCAGAACCACCTAAGAATGTATCTCTCACATGCATGAACTACCGAAAGAAGTCAATGAGAAACACACTCATGTATTTTGCTTTATTTTAGATTCAAGTATTTAGGGATCACTACTAGAATAAAAGCTATTTGTTGCGGTTATTTTTACTTATTTGTTGCGGTTTTGAATCGCAACAATTGGCAGGGCAGCAAATAGTAGGAAGACGTATTTGATGCGGTTCATAACCGCAACAAATAGCTATTTAAAAAACGAATTTTCACTTATTGTTGTGGTTCACAACCGCATCAAATACTCTTTGAATTATTAGTACGTTGTTTTTTGTTTTGTAATAATACTCAGATTCTTTTTTATGATAACAATAATACTCAAATTTAAAAAAGCTTATTTTTTATCAATATATTACGTTTACAAAATAAGAAAACATTCATTTCTAGAATCTCAATTTC